AAATCAAGTTTTTCAAAGTATTCTAATTTACTGGCTTTTACCTGTAGAAGAGGACATCATTTCATTTTATTTATGTATTTTAAGAAAGCTTTAATTTTGTTACTGGTTGTTATAGATTTTGTTTTACCCCAGAAGTTATTTGTGAGCCATTTAGGTTTAATAAAGCATGCTCATTAACCTCTGAGAAGCCTTTCTGAATGCTTCTTGAGGCTGGACAAAGTGTCCTCCTTTAAGGAAATCAAAATATGGTCACCCTAATGGTATTGCATAAATTATCGTGTCAACCTGGTACTGGTATTCCCACAGCATGCTGATTAGAGCTGAGGCAATTTTAACGGGGGTCGCTTGCTGTGTCATTTGACCTGGTTAGACACGCATCAGTGAGCTGTTCCCACTGCCACTATAAGCCAATTGTTCCCAGGTTTAAATGGGGTACAACTTGGGGACAACTTTTGGGTTCTCTACCCACCTCTGGTTCTCGTTTAACCTAACACACATCTAAAAGATGAAGGACAGTGAGCCCTGAAGTGCAGGATGGAGAACGACTGTACAATTAGAATGATCAGCTTTCATTTTAGGTTTGACTTGTGATTGACATCATTATTAGTAACCAGGCTGCCAGCAAATCAATGCATCCTTTAAAAGCATAGAAATTGAACTAATAATCCTTATCTTTCTCAAATAAAAAACTACAAACTTACTTACATCTGAAACTCAACATTAATCAGTTACATTGTAGGATTTCTCAACATTTAACCTATCAAACAAATGTTTACTTTTTTCAGCCAAATGAGTAATTTCCTAAACAAAGGGTCATTTCGCAATAAAGTCTAGCTGCTGGAACACGGCGATCCTGTAAAATCGTGGATGTTAAGTGTGTGCATGTGTTTCCCACACACTCAGCTCCAAACAAGCCAGCAGCGACCACATCTTTCATTTTTCCGCCCGTGTTGCTCCCCCCCCGTTTTGGTGTTGGACTCAGGTTGCTGTGGAAACGCAAAGTTTAACCATCATTATTTCAGCCCTGTGGTCTCTGTGCAGCTGCTTGTAATAAAACGTGATCCTGAAGTGTGACGCCTTGTTTGAACTGGGTCAAAACATGTAGTAGTAGGAAAGGCTGCACTCACGATACACACAGAAAAAAACATTAGGCACATTTTATTTTAAAGTTTCCTATACTTCATAGAATTTTTTTGTTTGAATTACGTAAGACCAAATTACTCTTAACGTTTTGTAGTTTTTGGTAAAAAAGTTGTATGTTAAACATCCATTTTTGTGTCCAATATGCACAAAAATTCAAAAATTTCAGATCAAATCAGCTTTTATCTTGTTTTCTGCAGTCAATGATTCTGCAGTTGTTTACAAAAATGTAATATCTACAACTATAGAGCTATTTAGAAGCATGCAGTTCAGGTAAATCGGTTTATTATTTAATTGGGAAAACTCTCCTTCCTTAAAATTTGTTCATATTTTGGGGGGAAAGTTTGAGTCTACTGTAAAGAATTGAAAAGCAGCACATTATCTTTTTTTTTTCCTGCAGTTCATCACTGTAATAGTCTTCACTTTCCAACATGTCCATGCTTATGATAAAAGGCTCTTAGATTACACACCCACACACAGAAGGACAGGAACTCGAGGAGAAAACAGCAGATTTATTCAGCCGCCATGAGAAACTTATTACATAAGAAGAAGAGAGTCAGTCTGTAGGTCTGTTCCTGCCATGGAGGATCAGGTTACATAACAAAACCCAAACTGCAAACACAAACATTTATCATCAGTCACGCACGAATCCCCCACTCATAACAAAAAATAAATGCTTTCACTGCACATGGAGGCAAAGACATTTCAAGCAATTAGGGGGAAATTGTATTTCTCATCGATGATAAACTAAACCAACAGTTGAAAATTGTAAACAGCAATTGCATCACATCCCAACAAATTTATCTTAAAGCTTAAGATAAAAAAAAACCTTTGTTATAATGGGTTCCACATTGTTTATTAAGCTTTGCTGAGTTTATAAAGAAACATTAAATCCAGATGGAAATCTCATGTTCTACACCAGATTGGGTTGTAAACTTTAAACCATGCCTCTTTCAGATCTCAGACTTTCAGCTGCACATCTCAAAGAGGATTAGGACATGTTTCAGTTTGTTCCTCAAATCTCAGACTGTCACTGGAACGACTTTCGACATATATTGAGTACAAGCAGGTTTATTCATATTTGTTCTGGAATCTTAGATCCACATAGAGATTTCTGATCAGTATTTTATAGATTATACATGAATACAGCAATGGTTTGTGACATATATTCAGAAAATAACACAGGTACTGAAAAAGAACTACCTTACAAAACAAAAAATACAGGGATAGTTGATGTTGCCACAGAAGTGATAGACATCGGATTTTTGCTCCTACATTAAGGTGAGTTTGAAGGAAAAGTGTTTTCCAGTGTTGTTGGACTCTAAGCGTAGATGGGAATCAAGCAGGATGAGGAAGAGGAAGGGAGAAACTGTGGTTGAGATAAACAAAAGGAACTATACTTCGTCAGCCAGAGAACAGGTTAGACTTTCCACAAAAAAGATGAGAAGAAACGGAGAAGGTGACAAAAGGTCAACATAAATGTGAGAACTTTTTGTCCATTAGATCTCCACGCCAGGAGAATAGAAAGTCTTCAAACATGTAGCGTCCAAATGGGCCCAGAGTCGTTCATAAAGCTCTGTTACACAGAAGCAAGTAGCTCAACTATTGTTTTGCATAATTTTGAGCATCCAAGCCATGAACTTTGAATATTTCAGTAAAAAAATCTATTAGAAACTTCCAAGTCAGTGAAAACACATAGTTTTGAGTAAAAAAATCTTAATTAGAATTGTTGGGTAGTCAATAAAAAGCCTAAATTAGCCCTTAATGAACTAATACAATAAAAAGACTCTTGCGTATAAACAGTATTATGACCTGAAACTACAGCTCTGATTTTCCCTTAAACAGAAATTCCAGCATCTTTAATGATAACCACAGGGAGGAAATGGATGTTCTCTATGACTACAGCAGAAAGAGGGCAACACCATGACTCAGCTGTTTCCATGCAGCCCTGGGATTTCCCAAAGTGTATGTCTAGTATTCATTTTGTTAGATGCAAATGCATTTATTTTTGCTTTGGTTCTTATTTCAACTCAGAATTCAAAGAATTTCAACACTCATGAAAAATTTAAATAATACTCTCGGAGACACCAATTTTACTAGTAAGCAACCACTTATTATGCGACTTAATGGCTCCCATGTGTTTAAATCAAAATAAAAAAGAATCTAATTCTAAAAGAATTCCAGCATATTGTCCAAAAACTGCAGAAAATTACAATATATAGCAGCTAACTGTGCTGCAGCACTCACATCAGCTTTAATGCAAGCGGGAATGAATCTGAACATCCCTGTTTTATGTAATAGCAAAGAAAACATGTCCAATGATGTCTATTAGTTTGCTTAGTAGAAACATTGATATACAGTTTTTGGGTAATAGCCAAAGAACCAGACCCTAATGTATTTCATAACATTAGTTCAACTTTTTTATTCTCTTTAGTCCAACTGTTTTTTATTGTTTTTTTTTTGTTTCTACATTTTTTTTATTTTATTTTTTTTATTTTTTCCCCTACTTGCTTTGATTTTGTTTTATTTTCCTATATTTTAATCATGTAAAGCACTTTGCATTGTCTTTGTACTGAATTGTGGAATACAAATAAATTTGCCTTGCCTTATCTAATGAAGTGTGAGGAAGCATCGTCATCATTAATGCAATAGAACCTATTATACAAATGTAATTTAAACATTTGATCCCTCCAACATTCAAATATTCAAGTGATACTAGGAGGAAAGGTTTCAAATTAAACAGGACATGTTTAGGTTTATCTTTGAATATAACTTTACTTCCAGCTCTGCTTCTGGGCTTTAAGGAAACCTGACAGAAACCCTTCAAAAATATCACATCATTGTAAATGGTCTCACAACTGATCTGTTTTTTAATTGGTGTAAATGCACAGGTTGACAGTTTAGATTAACATTGTTTTCATACATCCAGAAGCTCAACTGGGCAAAATAGTTTAAATTCAAATCAGGGTTTGCTTTAGCTGCATTTAACTGATTATCTTTGTTCCCACTGAAGAAAAAGTTTCTGTTTTAAAAGTATATTTCACTGAACATTGGAGTTGAAATTTAAGCCGATATGAGAACAGGGATGATAAGCATTAAACAGAAATTCAGTTTCAGAGAGGCAAAGCGCATTTGTCATGTGGTAAAATGCAATACCAGAAAAAAAGTCAGGTGTACCGCCCCTAACAACTAGCTGTGCTGCATCTCAGCATATTAATATGAAATTATCAAACACCCTCTGTAGATCGGCCCATATTTCTTTAGAAAAGTGAATACATTAAGCGAAAAGGTGCAAATATTGAAACCACAAAATGTTCATTAGCAGTTCCACTGAAGTGCTAATGCTATCTTTTGCTCAAATGGAGAAATAATTGACTGTTTAGCGGTATTATTCTTTTATTTCTGTAATCCTTTAGTAATGCACCTGTCATTTTTTTAAGCATTTCTACTGTTTAAACGTTCTTTAATAGGTTCATCCTTCTCTAAATATTCTTTTTTCATTTCCTATTAGCAGTTACTTTTCATATGTTCATGGTTCTCAAATGTAAAATTTGCACCAACGATTAATTATTAAAATTATTAAAATTTTACCTAATTTTTCCTGTACTTTTAAAACAATTCTTTACAGGGGAAGAAAAACCACCAATTTTCGATAGCAAACATATGCTGCGTTGCTATCATTAGCTTCAGTGTATTTTTCAATTTCAATATAATTTAATTGCAAAAAAATATTAGAACAGTTTTTTCTCACTACTTCTTTAAAATAGAATTATCATTATAAAATGTTTACTTTGACATATCTGCTTGGCTTAATCAAAAGATTGTTGGATAAGAAACAAAAAAATACCAAATATGTAATTTACAACACAAGTCTGCACTTTCATCCCTGTTAAATATCTGAATATTTAATAATTTGATAATGTAACAAATTTAGAGACATAAAAATCAGTGGACATATACATATTTTCTTGTTCTCAGTGTTTTTATGGTGTGTTACATAGCTCACTGATGATCAATTTGGAACGTAATGTACAGTAGGTACAAATTCAAAAGTATAAAATAAAGTATTTACATTAGAAGTTGAATTATTCAAAAAATACTTGCTCCAAAGGGTCTATACAGTTATTTGGCACTGCACAAGATTTATTTCTTAAAAAGTGCTGGAATTAAAATCAAATCAACCAAAAAAAAAAAAAAAAAAAAAGAAAGAAAGAAAAATAAAAAATAACCTAAACAAATTTTATAGACTTTCTTTTTAAAAAAAATTATCTAATGTAAATATCAAAGCTCAGCGGTTTTTAAAATATTACTCAGTTCCACAATATCTATACGTTTTTAAAATCTTTTGCTCAAAAAACTGAAACACAGAACCTTTGACTTTATCCAAATATAGATTTAAATCTCAAAAATAAAATAAAAAAAATTAACAAGCAAAACAAGATAAGCAGGATACCAAGGAAATGAGCTGGATAAATTCTGAAGATGTTACACAGTAAATCCCCCCAAAAAGATAATACAATTACAAATAACTTTCCTTTCAGGTCAAGCATTCACACTGCAAAGCAGACAAACTCTAAATCCTCTACCAAATGCAGCATGAAATGTATTAAAACACTAGAAATAAAAAAAAACGCTTTTCATTTCCCAAGCCAGCACTGGGAACAACTTTTAAAGAGTAAAATAAAGGTAAAAACAGAACTTGCAGACATGTGGGAAGTGTATATTTAAAATGGCAACACTATGACACACAAATTCACATGTTTGTGCTTCTTTTCTGTCTTTTTTAGGACCTCTGCTGACATAATGCAGTCCCATGACCTCAAACCGGGTTCTTTAAAAAGAAAGGCCAAGGACTTACCATAAATGTCTACTTATAAAATTACTGAAGTTCCCCCACACAGTTCAGATTTTAAAATTTACACTCACACACCACGCCCCCCCTCAACACACACACACTCCAGTCCAGTGTAGCAGGATTCATGGGACTTTCCTGTCTTCTTAAAATAAGCCTCTGTCATCATTGAGCACCAGCAGCAGGGGATGGCCAAAGTGAAGCATTCTGGGAAATAAAATCCAACGATGCCATGAGACACCCAGTGAAGTTAAATAGTTAGGGAACAGAAGGAAAAAAACCAAACACAGAGGCGGGATGCTGAGTTAAGCAGAATAAAACATCCGAAAATGAAGATCCATCCGAGAAGCTTCCAAGAAGCAAAGCATTCTAATACATGCATTTAAATCCTCTTCTTATAGTACAAATCAGATTTTCATTTTACGGTAACTCAGTTTACAGTACTGCAGTAAAGTATACTGGACCAGGTGGTGCCAGCTCTTTGTCTAATTAATACTGATGGGAGATATTTTCAGGAATTAACATCTCTAAGTCTTTACAGGGAATTTTTACTTTTATAATCTAACAGTGAAGACAGCTGTAGGAATCTGAGATCCTGGATTAAACAGGATCACTTCAGAAGACATCTGTATCGTTCTCGTTTGGCTTGCTAGTTTCAGATTGGACCAGAGTGAAAAAGAAATATATATATATATAAAAATATTTTTTTTTAACATTTGTTTAGACAATTTGAAGTGAAGGTCACAAAGGGTGCAACATTTGTTGAGCGACACTTTAACAGTCGTCAGTGAGGTGGGTGAAGCCATCAGCGGGGTGTTGGAGGACAGGCTCAGAGGTTTAGAGTGCGGAGGAGGTCAGTCAGCTGGTCAGAGTCAATTTAATACAATCCTGGAACATATTAAGCAAATGGACACAATGGGTAAGAAATAATCTGAATCAGTATACAGGTAAGATAATATAATTCCTTACATTCATAGATTAAGATTACATTACTGCTCAAGGTGTCCAACAGCTGATGTACTATAAATATATATATACTCTAAACAGTCATCAGAGGGGGCTTTTAACATAATGGATTACATATGCCAATAATAAATCAACATTTATATATCAAAATATTTTATCCAGTTTTTAATTCTCTTCTCAAATCAGTAACTGTTAAAAAAAATCTGCTCCACAACTTTTTAATAAAGGCTTTATAAGTTTTCAGCCGCTATGTAGCACCCAGCTCTCGAAGTGTGGTAACACATAAACAGCCGATAAGAGAAAATTAGGCTTTTGTAGTTTTGTGTTTTTCTTTCTACCCTTTCTACATCAGTGCTACATGTTTGTTTTTGTTGTTTTTTTTTATCATGAGGACTTTTAGATATCCTGTTGTATTGGTGGAGAGGTGCAAACACACTGCAAATGCATAAATGTACACCAAACAGAAAACAAAAGAACTGCAGACTGAATTAGACTAGAACACACTAGCTAATAGTAACATAAGACTAACAGAGAAACACCTAAAACACATGAAAAGGACAAACGCAGCGATTCTAGAAACTAGGGAGCAGCAAAGTGCCAAGCAGGGGAAATTCAAAATGTGCTGCAAACACATAAATGATACTAGCACTCACACTCACACAAAACACAAAATATACATATATTAAATTGCTGCAAACAGCAAAAACAGCTGCATCTTAAGAAAACCTACAAAATTGCTCCAGACCACAGAGGGAAGCAACTCTAATTGAGACTGTTATGTGTTTAAGTAAAGACAAAAACGTGATGCTCCGAGAAATTAAGTGAGTACAGTTAATATAAAGTAAACACACATTTTCTTTCTTTCCTCCAAATAAGATCTGGTTTAGCATCCCATTTATGTCTTGGGTTAGGTTCTGGTCTAGTGACATTCATTTGTTGCATTCTTTACAGTTTGTCTTGCAGTACTGTATGTATTTGCAGGGCATTTGCACCTCTTAGCTTCCATATCTCAAAGTTGTTTTTTTTATTTATTTATAAAATTTTCCAACTTTAACAACAACACACATAAAAATTACATGTTTAGCAACATAGAAGGAAATTACTTATTTCAAATAATTTTAAAAAACAGACACAAAACAGCATTGAAAAAAAGAAAAAAGAAAGAAGGAGGATAAAAAGGGAGAGAAAGGAAAAAAAACAACCTCTTACAATATCTATAATACAAAATCAGAAAGTTGAAATATATGGCCAATGCATCTTGTACATCTCACTAGTATTTTAAGAAGTCTATAAATTGTTCCCAAACTTTGTAGAAACTTTGTAGCTTTCCCTTTTTAGCATAAGTAAATTTTTCCATGGCCAGTGTTAGACAGGGTCTTGAACCAAACGTTGAAAAACGGTGCTTCCATTGCTTTCCATGAGATAGCAATGCAGTAGCTTGTAATTAGCACATATACACCATCTTTTTCTCAGCATTCGTCAATCTTAAGTCTCTTGGGACAAGTCCGACAATGAACAACTTAGAACGGACGGGTATTCTTATAGAGCTGTAGTCAGAGACTCGTTCTATTACCTTTTCCCAATATTCCCTAATTTTAGGGCAGGTCTACATGCAGTGATATACTGTGCCCTCCTCTAGACCACACTTAATGCAGAGGTCAGGGTTATTGTTGTTGAAGCATTGCAAAAGGGACGGGGTCAAATATGGGGTAAAAAATGTTTTCCACAATTAAGCTATAAGTAACAGAAACCTGACAACTTCTGTGCGTATGATTTAGTACAGCCTCTTCAAGACTGGACAGTGCTGGTTTGTTTTTCTGTTGTTTGTATTTTTTCAGAATATAACTCCTGAGCACCATGTAATTCCTCAAAGCTACACAACACCTATAACTCACAGCTTTTAAAGACATTTCTTTATGTTGGTTTTGAAACAGTTCACTGCTGGTGGTTTAAAGCTTTCAAATGTCTGTTTCTGCTTCTCTTTGTGTTTTTCTTTAACTTCTGTCTTTTTCGAAAGCAGTGATGCAAAATAAAATAGATTGTGTGATATTTTCAGAGTACTTAGAATACGTGACAATTTCAAAGCAATGGTTCATGGACGTTATACAAATCTAACTTCCTATAATGGCTCGCAGTGGTGCAGATGTAATACTAGGTTGTGTTGAAAAAGGAACAACAATTGGTTCTATAGCAGAGCAACAGATGCCATACCAGTTTGATCTAAATTATAAAACATTGATGTTCTAGGCAGCACATCAGGTTATTGTTTACCGCACCCTGTTCCTATTGAACATATAAACAAATGATAATAACTCTTTGTATATTTGAGCCTGAATTCTACAAAACAGGAAAATAATTGATGAAACTGTGGATTGAGTAGATGGATGAGTCAAAAATACTATCTAATACAGATTACTGTTCAGCTCTAACAAAAGCCAATATATGTACAGTATATATATATATTTATTTATTTTTTACTTTTTGGCTGGACAGTGACACGGCTGTGGTCAGGTTTAGGGTCAAACAGGGTCAGAAGAAATATATTATTTCTAAGAGCAGCGTTTGTTGTGCTTACCGGCTATAACAGGCTGTTTCTGCAGTTCATGTTCGGGCCTTTGGACCTCATCTGCTCTTGAACAGACCCTGACTGTGAAAAAAAAAAGGAAAAACAAAGGATTAAGTCATTTAATTCAAGCAACAACAAAGCACAGTAAAAGAGAATTACAGATTTAAAACAACATTGGGTCATTATGTTTACTAGAGGAAACAGTTCCATAAGCAGCTTAGGAAAACATTGATTTATTGATACTTAGAATGTAAAATTCTAGGCATAAAGAGACTTAAGTAAAATAGTCTTTATTTTATAATCAGTTATTGAATGTCCATTTTTGGACCAGGGTTTCCGTGGGTCATTAAAAATCATTAAAACTCATTAAATTGTAATTTCTTTTCATTAAGGCCTTAATTTACATTAAAATTAATTAAATGGGATTATTATCATGGCATTTAAAATGCTTTATTAAAAAAAAAAAAAAAAGTTTCTAAAAACAATTTCATCAGATGTATTATATTGTGATATATTTGCGCGGAACTGCTTCCGGTTGATCGTGAAGCCGTATGTTCAGTAAAGAAGCCAGAGGTGGAGAAAAGGCTAATATATATATATATGAGAGTCATGTTTACTTGATGATGGCATTAAAATAATTTCTAAGAGAATTAAAAGAGCAAATAAAAAGCATTAAATTAGAGATACTTATTCCTGTATAAACCCCGTGGACAATCATCAGTACTTTTGACTGAGAGGAGTACTCATGGTAAGACAAAATGCCAAAAAGGGTACACGAGTCCAAAAAGGTTGGGAAACAGCGATGTAGGGCATGGATTTCTCAAAATGAACTTTCTTCCCACGTGCAACAATGATCTTATTTGCCTTGCAATGTTCATGGGCCTCAAAAGAAAAACGGGGGAAAGGAAGAGGTGAGTAGAAACGTATCCACACATATTTACCCTGTGATCTCACACAGAAGGAAGACTCCCTGCTGACTCAGGCCAGACAGGGGAAGTGATATCATGTGTTTACGTCACACAACTCTTAGTGCATTATACTGTCATATATTACTTTGATGAACTGATCGTTATATAACCAGAATTTTGGTGTTAGTCAAAGATACACATCTATCCCTGTGAGACAATCAATCAACTGTTTACTGTTATAAGCCAAAACTTTAATTCTCTTCAGCCTGAAATACATTTAGAAAAGGTTCATCTTCTGAAACCACATTGATTCTGAATATTTTATCACCTAAATAGGCTACAGCTGGAAAACCTCAGTCTCTTCTTGATTTATGGTTGCATCGCTTCATACGCAATGGGTTATTAAAAAAAGGAAGACCGAGGCACAATCTTTGGGCTGCTCTAGAAAGACCTCAGTGGCTCCCAGAGTGCTTTCCACATGGCAGTTGTAAGACAGTAAAGCGAAAATAGAAGCAGGAAGGATGCAGTGCCACAAGACACTTCCTGACACACACACAGAGCCTCTCTGTCCTCATGTTGGACTGAAGCCTGGTCATCTCTGTCTGCTAAGAAGCTGCAGATCTCCACTTTTTACTTTCTGTCCTGGTAGACGGTCACTAAACAGAACAAATGAAGGTAATGCCTTAGAATTACAGATTAAACTTTAGTGCTGTCTCACCGGCTGCAAACCATCTCCCATCTCTGAAGAGCCGATATGCGTGAGGTGGATGAAGTTTGTTGGCTCTCCGATCATGCTGCGGTCGATCTTCCTCCTCTTTTTCTTCTAGACAGAAACAGACAGATTATTCACTTGCTCTTCTCTCCTTATCAGTGAACCCAGATGACGAAGGTCGCTAGTGAAATTAAACATGATTTTATAGCAATAGATGGTCACACGTTGCTTTAGCCATCTTTATTCTCCTCATATATCACTTGTCGAATTAATTGCAAAAAAAAGAATGCGTCTTAATGTGACTATGCTGGTGAAGAAACAGTTAAGGTCTTTCTTAAGCATCTCTTTTGTTCCTCTGATGGTCTGTCTCTGATGTGTCTCCACACGTTCACATTCTCCCAGTCTCAAATCACCCCAGTGAATCGTGTAGGAACAAAAAAAATGACGCAACAGAGGGAGAAACAGGGGAAAATCACCAGAGGAACCTGCAAGTTTAGCCTCTATAATAGAAAACACGCATCAAATAATTAATTACAAGGGATGTCATATTAGGAAACTACTGACACCTGAAATCAGGGTTTAATTAAAGGTTTCTTCAGGGGTCAGCTTCTTCGGTGCATTCAGGGACAGTCAGAGCCCTGGGAATCAGCCAATGAAACCCCTCATTAAAACCTAGTTTGGCTCCCATAGTCCAGTAAACCCCGCTGTGTGGAAACACATCCAAACCACAATAAAAACCATTTAGATGTGATTTAAGAGGCTTATGCTCTGGATTATTCAGAGCCTTTATGTAACAGAGCAGATCTAAAAGCGATGGGTGAACACAACTAAGATGACAGACCTTAAAGATCAGAGGGAACCTAGAGTGTAGGAATGAGAGGAGCTGCAGCTTTCAAACTAATAAGAAGAAAACAGTTTTTTAATACGGCTATTGCACTGATTTGAAACCGCTGTGTTATTACTATGGAAGAAATTCAAGTGAAAAAAAAAAAAAAAAATTAGAGGTTTTAAAAAAATTAATAAAGAGATGAAAAAAAAAATGCAAAATAGATAGAGCCATATCTTGTTCTTACTGCTGAGGAACAGACAGAAGAAAAAAGACCAAGAATACATAAAACCAATTTATTATTTTTTTTTTATAAATATGTTTGTTTTTTTTAGTTAGGCTAACAGGTCCAGGCCCATTCTGCTTTAGATCACATTGTTTTCTGCAAACAAATCTGACTATTTTAATTTGAATATGATATTTTGTATTTATTATACAGCTAAGACTAAAATTATCGGTAAACGCTAAAACGGTAAAATTATCATAGGGTTCAGGGCTTCCACCCATATAGCAAAACATTAAGACACCACTGAGATACAAAAAAAGCCAAAAAAAACAAATTGAAAACACGATTGTTTTGTGTCCTAACTAAATTTACATCAGATACCATAAAAATCACATGTGGTGTTCCACAAGGGTCAATGTTAGAGACCCATTCAATTTCTATTTGCCTCCTCTAACTCATACAAAAAATACAACATAAGCTACCATAACTATACAGACGACACTCATCTGTACATTAAGAAGTCGCCACGTGACTATAAACCCTTTAAAGCTCTAGGTAAATTCATAGAAGAAATCAATGCATGGACGTGGCAAGATTTTGTTCTGTTGAGTGAAAACATGACTGATGGAATAGATTTTGGACCAAAGGACGAGTCATTTTTAGAAGAGTTGATTCCTGAAATGGTGTCTTCAAAGCTCTGGGACATTAACAAGGCCTTTCTTTGCAGTCGGTAATTAAACGGAATTTGCAGATGTGTTTAAAAACCAAGAGCTCCATGTGTGAGAAAATTTCGATTAATTAGCTATACAATTTGTTGTTCTCTAGTGAAGCATTCCCACCAGAGCAATAAAACTGGTGTTGCTAATGACAAGAGCAAACAATGGGACTGAAAGTGCATCTCACCATGCATTCAATGACTGAATAAAGGGCCTACTGAGGCAGGTTGATACAAACAGGGGTGAAGTCGTTATAAACTAAAACTGATGGTTGGGTGGAAATGTGTTCCATTATTGTGTACATTGTGTTTTAAAACCCATCATTTTGGAGTAGTTCTCAAAGACATGTTTGGGATTTTGATCCGGATTTGTGACAAATGCAATATAGATTTCTTATAAGAAATCAGACATCTGCAGCTGATACAGAATGCTGCTGCCTGCATCCTCACTGGAACTAAAAGCGTGGAGAACATCACACCAGGTCCAAAAATCAACTAACTGCATCTCTGAATATATAAGTATCTGTTAAATGTGCTTTAAAAATAATCTCGACGTATACCATCATACAGAGATCAAAATAACCATAAACATACAAAAAGTGACAATTAATTAAAAGAAACATAAAAAGTAGACAAGAGTAGATTCAATCTTAATAGGTATGTATATCTGTTGTTTTTACAAATCTTTTATTTTCTAATTCCTGTATAAAGTCAGTTTGTGTTTTTATGCATAAAAAGGTAATCTTGCTAATCGGCTCATTTATTTGTTTTTTGTTCTGTGTAGTACCTTTCTTTGTATGTTTGCCCATACTGCATACTAGGTTGGGATATGACCAAAAACCTATATCGCAATACATTTCTTTATTTCAGTTGATGTGATATAATTTCTGTATCAACATATAAAAAAAAACTCAGAAAGACTGCCAATAATGCCCACACAAGTGCCTGTACAAACTACAGACATTTATTTTGCCATGTTTGTAAAACTCCTACAACTTAACATTTTAGAAATATTTGCTTTAAAAAAACAAACAGACAAAACTACATAAATATTAGTGACAAATGCTGTAATCATGGACTGTAATGTGGATCCAAAACACACACAAAAAAATAAATACTGTATTTAAAAAGTATTTAAAAGTCATATCATTTATATTGAATTAAATTATATAGCGATATATATAAATATATGATATTAGAATTTCATCTACTGCATGCACATTTTTGTTTTGTTGAAACAAAAACCACCTGCATTGGTGTTTCAATTTGCCGCTGGTGCAAGTAACTTCTTCCACTGAGGAACTATAAAGGTTATTTCTATTGTATTCTTTATAGGTCCTGTTTTGAGATGCAGTGGTGTTTTTTATTTATTTTTATTGCCTAATCCTTCAGGTTCAGTGGAAATGAACAAATGAGGTGGGTGATGCTTGAATGCAGCACACAAGTCATACTATTCCAGTGTTATTCCATTTACTTTAGTAACCTTTATGCATTCGCCTTGTTTTCGGATCAAGGTAGGTGAATAATGTGTCCAGAAGAAAACTTAAACAAGGTGATACCTAGGATGAAACTCTTGGCCCAGGTTTGGTTGAAATCTCTATAAATTTGAAGCAAACTATGAAAAATATATCACAAACCTTCCACATTATATGTGGAAGGTTTGTGATATATATAATATAATGTGGAAGATTATTCTAACCTTCCACATTATATGTGGAAGGTTAGAATAATGTAGCTGCTACCTAAGAAAGTCCAGCCTGATGGAGGTTTAGATCCCTATCATAACACTTGTTTTAATATCATTACCTAATATATCCACTATTGAAAAAACATTTTAAGATGAAGCCCGAGTGAGACCACACACTGCAGGGGCATGTCGGCATCCAATGTTCAACCAGCTGGGAGTGACTCATTGCTCGACCTACACACATCCTCCTCCACAGCTACAGCTGCCGTCATGGCAACCGTAATTTATAAAAAGCAACTGGGCAGCACTGATGGACAAACTGGAAGGAGTTTGAATTTTAATTTCAGCTGAGCATGTCAGCAGTATACTGTGTGTGTGTGTGNTGTGTGTGTGTGGGCGGGGGGGGATTCTTAAACAGCAGCAGATTAGTTTTGATAAAACAGGATTCCAACTATTGAGTCAGAGGCAACCGTTACATAAACTCTGCTTACTTTTTCCTTGATTTTTTGTAGCTTTCTGTTTTAGATTTACTTGTGGTCATTTTTTTGAAACACGGCTAAAACTGCCAGATCTTAATGACGGCAGAACGCTTTAAGATACAAGAAGCTGAGGTCTAATCTAATCCTCAAGCAGTTTATGTTACGCAACCCTGAGTCTGCTGTAATTACTGAATAAAATGGGGAGGGTGCTCCTGGCAACCTTTGTGTTGGGCTGATAAACAACTCCGTCTTTTTCATCCCAACCATCATCATCATGTAACATGATTCACCAACTTCAAACAAGAACAGGCTGGAATTTCAAAATAAAAGTAGACATATGCAACTGATCCATCAGCTGCTCCCAGACCTCCATCAGAAGAACCCTTCACGGTAAGCAGAGGATGAAAAAAACGGCTTAATACACGTCACTGTGCGGATGAATGTATATTCCGTAATATGAGAGCATCCAATGTTGCTAAGACACATATTAGGCTGTTAAAAGGTGAAATTAAATAAGAATAGAAGCAAATAATTTAGAAAGGGTTGAAAAAACAAAATAAAATTCATCCGTTATTAAAATAAATGTGTAGAAAACAGAAAAAAAATCATCATAGACACTAAAAATAGAGATATAAAAAGAAGAAGGAGAGAAACACACAAGCTGAAACACAAAGATAACACAGAGACTAAAAAGAGGAAAAACTGTAAACGTGTTAAGAAAAGATATGCACCTCAGCAATTATATTTAAAAAAATAGTTAAAAATAGTCCAGATACCCAAAGAAAAAATACTGAGTAACATCTGTTTTGTCTGATGACTGATAATGTATAAAATACTTTGCTGCAGGTTTACAGTAAAGAGCCTCAAAGAGAAAGAGTGAAGTCACTGCCGTGGATCCAAGTGTGTTTGTTAAAGGTGTATTGTTGCGGTGGTACAATGGAACAAACAGAAAACTATAAATATATGCGGAGGAAGGAGGGAGGAGGTCTCTGGAGAGAAACACCACAGAGCAGAACTTCCTCCCAGAAGTGTACACCGTGTCTGCTGGCTGCCCTAAACCTGCACAGGAGGGTACATGTGGCGTCGGTTCAGGGACTCGCACTGACTCAGTTAATCACAAACCTAATTGGCCTGTTAAATATTACAGTTTAGGTGGAATATTTACATACCCCCCACAAGGGGCATAGTAAAATAATAGTAAAAAGTAAAGGATTAAAAGTTAAATTGATTGAAATTCATGGACATATTCCAGTTTACTGCACAGTGGTAGATTTAGCAGCAAAGGTTACATAAGGCAAGTCCATATAGATGACTGTTAGCTAGATTGGTTCTTTTAATCTGCCCTTATAGGTATAAGTTTGTTTCATTTTGTTGTCCACTAGATAAGCAGCAGGGGGATGGTTGCATCAGAAAACATGATTGTAGAAAATAAATAGATGGATTTCTATGTGTAACTGTTGGACAATGAACTAAAATATCAAGCCCAGATGATAGAAAAGTACCGGTAACTCAGGAAAAACCCAGAAGAAACCAGTAACCACCAGAGCTCAAGTCTTCCACAAGGCTGGAAACACTGGTATCTGTTTCTGCTAGGAAGCCAGTTTCCATCAGCAGAGATTTAAAAGTTGCTGACCAAGTCATATGTCTTTTATAACATTTTTTTTTCTACAAACAATTATAAAAGTTATCTTTGAGGGAATCACTATAAGACTTCAAACCGGAAAACACTCTTCATCATCCTAGAGAAAAATACTTAATTTAATCGTAAATCAAGAGCCAGATTGCTGTAACTTGAATACGGTTTGGTGTTTCCACAAAACCATGAAACCAAAAAAAACATTAAAATGGATCTTAGTATGGGAAGGAGGCTGAAATCATGTTTCTTCCAAAAGACTTGACCTCAAACTATTGAAAACTTGTGAGAAAAAAAATGCATGAAACCTCAAAAAGAAATCTACAAATTACAAAAGAAAAGTGTTGAAATATCACACCAATTGTGTGCCAAAATGTTGCTGAGGGATAAAAAATGATCAGGCCATGATGAAACCTGCTGAGGGACATTTAACTGTAACTGTAACTTTATCTACTCTATATTGTTATCTCTGTCCACATGATTCACGTTGTGCATAGATCTGGAAAAATCTGCAATAAGTTACATTTTTTGCAGCAAATAGGTCCATAAAATATTAAAAGCTGGTTATATGACTTTAATAAAATAATTCCACCTTGGAGGAAGCACCTTTCAAAATAAAAGCCCAAGTTAAACATGACATTAATGCCTACAAACCATGTATGTACACTTCTAACCATAGCTGTACATCCACACTTTTCCAAAGTTTTATCTTTAGGTTACTGGTGTTTTTTTGTTGTTGTTTTTTCACCGGAAAAGGTTAGATTTGGAATTGTCTACAAAGATTTGCATTAGTTATGAAACTGGATTTTCCCAGAGCATCTTCATACTGAACAGTGTAGTCACATATGGAATAGAGTGAATAATGGTGCAGGTGTCTCACCGGAGGGGGTTTGGCTACCACACAGCAGCCCATCTTATGCCAGAAGTCACTCATCCCGACGGTCTGCCTGTCCAGCGGCCGGCCGTTCGTCTCTGCTGCCGCCCTGCAGGCCCGAGAAGGAACTGCAGCCTGTGGGTAATCCTGGGGCATCCAGACAAAAAGCCACACAAATGTAGACAGTCAAAGGGTCAAACCCAAAGTAAACCCCTCAGACTGGGGATAAAAAAAAAAAAAAAAGGAAAAAAAAAAATCTGGATATCCACAAAATTCTTCTGGATGATCCTCACGATTAACAAAAAAGTTCAAACTTTAAAATCCAAACTGACAAGTGAAGATGTGCAGCGTATATATCTGTGGAAACAGGAAAAAGGACAGGTTACAAAAACAAGTTTCTAAGACATAGATCCTTTCTTTAAAAACTTTTAATTTTTCATCCTAAAACATAAACATGCAATCATATCATTCCAGTCCACACTGTGTTTATCTTCACATAAAGGAAGTGCATAGATGCCCTATTCACTGGTTGCATAAGGTCATCTTTGGCAATCAGGCGGAACATTTTTCCTTTCATTTATTATATTATTAGCCCTTCAATGCCTCGGCAGCCAGCAATCATTTTTAATGTCTCTGCGGTTGTCCGACTCAAAAGGCTTAGCAAGTCTCTGAATTTCCACAATTAATCTGCAGTCTTGAAATTCCTTCTTATATAATCTGTTTTATCTGTTTATGAGGCAATACACCAACAGCTTTAGTTTTCTTAGCCAACAAGACCCGTATCTAACCTTCACTGAGTTTCTTTAAAAAACACATCAAATCAAAGACATAACAGTAAGCAGAGCAACGGTTACAGACATATCTACCAACATCACTATAAGCTACCAAATAAGGCTAGGCCAGTGAAACTCTGTAAGCTGCCTGAAAGAAAATGTAATGAGATATCTCATTACATTTTTTAGATGCTTTAATGGTTCTTATGGTCTAAAAATCACCACATTTCCAAAAGAGTTCCTCAAACATGACCAAATTCCTGACAAAAAAGGAGAAAAAAGGTTGACGAAGTCTATCATTGAGCTGCATGGGAACCAAACCCTTTGAGACGTCAACAGGGCAGGCACATTAAGCATGACTAAACATTAGGTGTGGTCCAAACATAGAGGAGCAGGAAGTAACAGAAGCACACAGACTGAGAGCTCCTTACCGACACTTGGCTCTTGTTTTTAGATTAAACTGGACCAGATTTAAATAAAAAGCTATAATCAATAAACAAACTAATTATTATTATGTTCTTTTTGCCTTTATTATAATAAATATCTTTATGACACTTCAGTAATGTGAGGATATAATAGCTAACCTTTAAAAACTCTCTGACTATTACAGAAAAAATGCTAAAATAAATCTGGAACAGTGAGTCTTTTATTCCAATTACATGTTTTTTTGCAAAGTGAACGTAATGGTTCATTTTTTTAAATGAACCATTATACAAATTATACAAGTTTTTATTTAGAAAGTTACTGGATTTGTTATTTGGTCCAAACAAACAACTGAAAGAGAAGTCTACTTGCAACCACAACTCTGCTGATGTTGATCTGTCTGGTTCTTCCTATGGTTTATTTCCATAGTTTCTTTGGCATTGACTTTTATATCAAAAAGGCTCAAAGGTGATAACTTTAGGTTTCCCTCATCTTTCTGTGATTTTTGGTGCCGTACTTTGAGTTCCTTTTGCAGAGGTTTCCTGACCTCCTGAAGTTTGTGTTTCTGGGCTTGTTTTTAATGGTACGTTGTTGATTTGCTTTTCTATCTGATGGTTTAATTAGGAGGTTCTTCTGACAATAAACTTTTCACGATCTAACTGCAAACACAGCATGTGGAAAAAAAACCCTCAGTTTGTCTGTTTTATTTATTTGGGTGATTTGTTTTATTGCAATAAAGCTCTGACATGTGGGAGGCTGATTTTTTTCAGGTCTTCATTCAAATTTTTGTGGGGAAGGACAAATAATAGAGAGCAGAAGCATCTAAGTTCCTGTATATAAGGTATAATACTGAGCTTCCTCTAGAAGCAACATTAGCATATAAACAAAGCGACGGCCTCAGTCACTTGTTTTCCAATAAAACACCCAGACCTTTTAATGCTGAATGTCTTAAAGACGGACAACAGCCAACCATCCGTTCTAGGACTTTCTATCTGTCTGCAATAACTTTTAGGCATTATTTCCTTTGGAGCTGAAAGAATTAATCGGATTAATCGATAATTGAAATAATCATCAACCACTTTAGTAATCGATTAGTCGTTAACTGGAGTACAGAGACTCTAATGCATGCCTTTACCTGAGAGAGCAGCCCACTTAGAGCAGCAATTATATAAAAAAAAAATATATATATATATATATATATATATATATATATA